TCCGTTTAAGGAATGGTTTGAAGAGGAACCAGAGGGAAACCACTCATTGCAGGCAAATAGCAGGGTTCCCGCATTGAAGACAGACAAGAATGTCCATGTTTGCTGAGGGACATTTACAGACAGACGTTGTAAAGGTCCCTTTATATTTTCGGGGGTCCCCATTGTGAGATATTTTGAGCCAGGCCCTTGTTTTGGTCCTAAGGTTCAAGCTGTCTCCATCCAGCGCCATGGAGTCGGTGGGCGGCGCCTGCGCCAAGAGCCCCAACGGCCAGCACCACTTCAAGTACGGCAAGTGCACCTCGGAAGTCATCGCATCCAGGGACTTGTTGTTTCAAGACTCGGAGTTTTGGCCGTGGGAGAAAGCAGTCGTTGGGGGGTGCTGTTTTGAAGGCTCAGGATCTGCAAAAGGGAAATCTGCGGGTCTGCCCACTTGGAGAAAACCCCAGATGCCAGAGCCCCGTGTCCCCCTTTCATGCTTTCCAGTTGTTGAAATCTCTGCGAAGGCTTGGCGGCTGAGAGCTGAGGCAACTTCTGCCAAGTGGCCGAGGGCAAGTTGGTCAAGGGTCCAGGCACGTACCTTTGCCAAGGGAGGGCGTAGGGAGAAGCGTAGCTGCTTTCTGAAGGTTGTCACGTTTTAGCATTGGCATGGCCCAGCTGACATATGACTGACACCAGCTGCCGCTTGGGAAATGAAACATATGGGCCACTTTACGGACTCGTTCCCCCCTGCCCAAGTAAGACCGCTGGTTTCTCGGACTGTCAAAGCGCCAGAAATTCGGGGGCTTTGGGAGTGGCATCATGCAGGCGTCATGGCAAACCCCGGCGGAGCGGCCGAGTGCGACATGGGGGGCAAGTGCATGTTCAAGTTCGCCAAGTGCACGTGGCTCGGCTTGTGGCCGGCCTTTGAACCTGGAAAAAAGAGATGGGTCGATGCTTCCAGCCTCGACCTTCCAACCGCATTGTGCCTGACAACCCGGCAAGGATGGGCTGGGAGTTAGCCAAGCAGCTAACTATTGGGAACCGGGGGCTGGCTGGGGGGTTAACTGTGGGCAACTGGGGGAGGAAGGTGATGAAATCTTTGTGGCCTTTCTCAAGAATCTAAGGCTTCTTGCTACTGGGGTTCGTTTCGGTGTAGGATAATCGTGTGGCACTTAGTTGCTTACTGGTCACTTGGGGAGGGGGGGTTGCTAGTGGCTCACTAGGAAGGGATAGTTAAGAAGCAGGGGCAAGTCTTTTCTTTTGGCCAGGAGGGCTTCAGTTTGGCCATGGGTGGCTCACTGGCGGGCGGTGTGCCTTCCTTCTGCCTCAGGAAGTGCGGCCGTGGCGAGGCCGGGATTCAGGCCGACGTGGCAAGACGTCCAAGCCACGACAGCGGTAGCCGCCGGCCATCATCCGAGGTTCGGACCCGAAGTTTGCCGCAAGGGCAGCTGGGTAAGACGAATACAGGCACTTCCAGTTTGCTTCAAGTCATTCACCAGGGCCGTCTAGTTTGGCAAAACCACCAAGGCCAAGGAGTGGAACTTGTCAATTTGTGGAAATGCCTCGTAAACTCGAATGATGGCAGTAGAAATGGGCAAGATGGTGAAGTCTTTTGGTTTGTGGTTGAATGGCTGAGTCTTCCTTTCTTCGTGGAACGGCAGGTGCTCCTGGCAACTGCTTTCAAAACCCTGGTGAAGGTAGGTCCTGAGAGTCTTCACGCTGGCAATGTGCATTAGCAAACTCTACGGGGGGAAAAGCGGTTGAGTTGTCACAGTGTTATTCAAGGCGGGTGTTGAGGGGTGTCGAAGCCAGCAGTGAAAGCTGGCATCGACTGGTTGAGATGGCAATGTCAAGTTGTGTTCTGGAGCAGGGGAGCTTCCTTTGAATAACAAGTGAAGAAGTTGTGTCGTTTAGCCCAGGGATTGGGGCCCAGCATGAAGTGATCCACCTCAATGTGCGTGCATGTCCGTTCCCCCGGTGAGGTCGCCCTGCTTGAGGCCGAGCTTGGCACTCATACAGCGAACGGGGCTCTCAGGTTCTAATGGAGGAAGGGCACACGATGCCTCAAGCGCCAGAACCTGCTTCCTGTGCAGGTTTCTACTTCTGCAACACCGGCTGGCACAGAGCTCAGCTGCGGGTTGGGGGTGGGGCATCCACGACCACTGCGCACATGCCAGACATTGCAATATGTCGTTGCATATGATTGGTTATTCTTACTCCAAACAGTTCACGTGCGTCTACCGTTTGTACGGCAAGCAAGCATCTTGACACCATGCACATTCACGGGCATCTCTGTCCTTAGGCCGCATACACAACATGTTGATTCGCACGTTTTGTGACTTTCCGTCCAGAATAAGGCACAATGTCAATGGACGACAGGGGTCTTCCTTTCCAGTGCGGATCCAGATCACTCCTGTCAGTTGCACTCCGCGTTGTTTTACCCGGCCAGGTTCATTTCATTCGTCCAGCATTCCTTGCATCATGGTTGCCAATCTGTCTACTTCCCTGTGGTTGATCACCCGATTGCCCAACGGCACCCGTTTTTTTTCTCTTGAAAGGGTGTTCGGGCTTTCTTTTCACATCGACCGTGCCCTCTCTCCCACGGCCGCCTGCCCGACTTGAGGCACCCCCCCGAAATCTCCGGTGCTGCGGCCACAAAGCCCGCTGGGATCCGCAGGCGCACAGCTCGCTGGCATGCCCAAGGCGGGGAAATTCAGCGGGCAGACGGTTCCTAGTTTGATCCGAGGTTTGACACTGGGTTCACCAACCTTAGCCATGACAGACTACAGAATATGCAGTAAATGAAGTTACTCAACCCCGCCAAAGGCTGGGTTTTTGAATGGTAGCTTCTTGATTGGATAGAAGATATGTGTTTTGCATTTCACCGATTGATGTCAAGCACGCAATCGAAACCACGTTCATCACAGCATTCCTGACAAATATTGTTTGCGGCGAGTGTCATTGGCCACAAGTCCCTTGGGCGGGGGCAGCTCTGTCTTCGGCCTTTCGTGGCTGGCTCCGAGGAGGAGGAGGCGGCACGATCGCCTTCCAAGAGCGATGAGGTGCGGAAGATCTCCAAGGAGAGCGATGGGCCCGCGGCCAAGGTGGGGCAATCCGGAACTGGATACCGAAGTTTGCAGCTGGCTGACACAGTGACACACCCCTTAAATGAATGCCGAAAACAGTGACTTGTCCTTGTTGGACATCTTGGTGCTTTTTCCCCTGAAGTGATGTCAATGGGCAAGCATTCCTCGAGTATATGGACAGGCAGGCAGGACCAAGGGTGACAAAATGCCACACAGGAACTTGTTGCTAGGTGAGTGCATATGCCATTTAGCATCTATATGTCAATAGAGACATGGCCATTTCTGAGTTTCAGTAGTTGTTACTAATTATGGCAGGCAGGGCGCTTGGGTGATCAGATGCAAGCAGCTAGCTCAGACCACGGGGGTAGCCTTAGGTCTTTTTCGGCTGAGGGGGAGAGAACCACCCCGTTGCACATGGAAAAGCATTTGCTAGCCCATCGCGGGCATGCAAAATGCGTGAGGTGAGCGAAATAAGGTTGTTAACAATTCGGGTCGTTTGCTTCGAACACCAGTCGACAGCCAGGCCAAATTCGCTGGCCTTCATACAAGCCACGAAAAGAATTGTTCGAAGACCAACAGTACCAAAATAGCAAAATCATCATGTAGGTATGTCTAAGCAAGGGTCTTGGTGACCACGAAGCCGGTACCGTATCATAAAACAGACGCAGGGCCCAGCAGGAGCCTTTAAGCCCACTACCCGATTTTGCGAGGCGTTGCACAGGGAGCTATGGGAGGGTGACGGCCCGTAGTGATCCTCAATGGCCGCTAATTGTCGCTATTGGTCGCTCAGAGTCGAGAATGGTCATTGTTAGGCTGCATCTGCATTGTCTTTGATAGATGAGGGGTCACCCGCTCCATGTCTCGTCCGAGCTTCCTGCAAAATCAGCGCAGGGCGGCGAGGATCGGACGCGCATGACGTGTCACTTGTGCGACTTAGCTGGACGGAGTTGCTTCAAAGCGATATGCACTCTCTCTTTGGCATGCCCTTACACGAAAATGGGGAGGGGGGAGCCATTTCAACATATTGCGGCCCTATCAGGCACGACTGTGGGCAAGCTTTGCAATCGCTTCTTGTTGAGGCCCTCACTGCTGCAACCAGAAAAGGAAGCTTCTCAGTATGTTGCAGGATTCCCGGGCTGATTTGTCCCAGGTGGCTACAAATCGGTGCCCCAGTGGATGAACGACAAGGCGCACTGCCTGAAGTGCGACGCCGTCGTGAAGACTAGGAACTCCATCCATGGGGAGGTGCCCGTGCCCGAGAATGTGCAGAAGGACCTTGGGGCCAGCCGCCTCCCCGGCGAGGTGGGAGCCTCGTGCTGGCCTCCGAAGGGAAGCCAAAGACGGGGTGTTGGGTATCATTTAAATCACATTGTCTAAAAGCACGGGTTTACCTGAAGGTTTGACCGTTGTGGTTGCCAGTTTTGATGAAGTTCCGTATGGGAGGGGTCATGTTTGGCAAGAGAATGAACTCCGCTACCTAAATGAGGTCATTGGTCGCTGAGAACAAACAAGTCAAACATCCTCGAGCCACAGGGAACTGAAGAAACAACTCGCAATGAACAGGTGATGTTCAAACTATGCGCGCTACTTACTATGAATAATCAAATGCATGTGAAGAGAACCTTCATTATACGTAGTGAGCACACTTCCCCGAATCAGCCGAGCTCGTCACAATCAATGCAGAATCAACCCTGGGTGTTGCCCTGCATGGTTGAAGGAAACCAGAACCGTTTTGGTTTCCCTTTTGGCGTTCCTGTTTCCCTTAGGCCAAAGCAAGGTAATCCAAAATCCCAGAAGTTTCCCCAGACCTTCCCATTGAGTTGGCTTTTGTTTGGTTTCCCTACGACCAACCGGTGACTTCGCAGGCCTCCACGTACAAGGCAGCCCCCGGCAGCGCCATGGAATCCGCCAGCGGCAGCTGCGGCAAATCCCCGGACGGCGTGCACCACTGGAAGTACGGGAAGTGCACCTCGGTTTGTTTCATAGTGGAATTGCCTTGAACAACTCAGATCATTACACGAGTTTCTTTGCCGAGCTGGGTTTATTGGGAACCCTGCTGTTTTCAACCCTCAAACTGTTTTTTTGGGCATAAACCAACAGGCAAGGAGGTTTGTTTCCCTTTGCTGATTTGTCCTGAACAAACCTGATTGAACGGAGGTTGTGTTTTCCCTACGTGAGCTGAAATGCACTGAACAATCTAGTGGGCTGTCATTTCTCAGAAGGGTGCTGAAAACCTAGTTATTCACATTTCATGTGCTGAATCTCCATGGAATTCGCCTAAGTCAATGGAATTACCCAATTCCTGCCAAGCGATACTGGAGTTTCTAATTGCTAACTCCCCCACTCAAAGTGACGAAATATGGCCGGGCTTGTTCAATCGAAAGCCACAGGATGGATATTGTCCAAACTGCCTAGCTCCCACTAAAAGTACTTGCTCTCTCTCTCTCTCTCTCTCTGTCTATAAAATCTGTTTTGACTGTTGCTTTTGCCACACAAAAACAACCCCATAAAAGAGTACAATGGGACAATGCCCCCGCGAGTAGGGGTCAACATGGGTGCTTTCCGCTTTTGCTGTCGGTTGCATGTTTGTAGTGTGTATATGTTTGGTCTCCAGCTTATGACAATTAGGAGCCAACCAAAGAACCTGAGTTTCGGCCCAATTAATTGTCCGAAACTGGGGAAGCCATCGCAATCACACTCAAATGGCTTTATGTGCTTGTGGGGCTTGACGTGCTTGTGCTTGCCAAGGAAAACTATATCACATCAAAGAATCGACGAGTTTCCTTTCAGTCGCGTACCCGCCTTTCAGGCGTTTTTAACCGAAAAACTTTCTTCGAGAGGAGCTGTTTTTGGGAAATGTCTCCTGTCAGCTTGGTTCAGATGTGAATCGAGCTATTCTTCCGTAGAATTTTGCCTTCGCGGCCCAGCCGGTGAATTCCTCTTGAGTGTTGAATCAGTGCAGGAATTGGTGGAATCCAGCGATGGCGCATCTACCGGCAGGTGTTGTAGAAGCCAAGGCTTAGTCCTTGCAATGGTGCCCGGCCATGATCTAAAAGCAAGCCGGTTCCTCCCGGAAACTTTCCCCTCGCAGCGTTTCCACTGGGTGCAACCGCCAGGCAACTTCTGCCAGCAATCCGAAGGGAAGTTGATGAAAGGCACTGGCGTGGTGGCTAACCCTGGCGGCGCTGGCGGCTGCGAGAAGGGCGGAAAATGCGTCTTCAAGTTCTCCAAGTGCAACAAGTGTGGCCGGCGAGAGTACTGAGCCTCTTGGCCGTATGGCCCTTGTATGTGGGAGAGGAATGATATGGCACGTGGGGGTTTCCAAAAGCGGGGGACTGCTTCTCGTCGGTAGACATTTTTGGGGAAGCCAACTTTGGTTCGGCAGATTTGGTTGATGGAATGATTTGGAAGGGCAGCCTGGGCTTGGGTAAGAGAGGACACACAACGGGCGAGGGGTTGGTTGGTGACAACCGGTACCTGTGGTCACATGTGTTGATTGTCAGTTAGGCCATTGATCAGTGAAGCAAATGAAGGTTGGCATGGCATGCTCGGCCTGGCTGAGACTTTCTGCAACGCGCCCTTCTTTGCAGCGGGTATGCCAATCCAAGGTCTAGAGACGGAGTCAGGGCAATCTTGGTCTGGCTCCTGAGCTTACTCTATAGTCACCGAGTTCTGGAGTTTGCAACCTGCAACTCCACTCATAGCCGAAGCAATCTACGGGTTCTTTTGTTGACACCTGGTTGCTCCTCCTCAATCGCACCAGCTGCATCCACCAGCTGCGAGTGGTTGATTTGACCAGAGAGTGGCAGGGTTCACAAGGGATCCTGTTACACTATCTTTCCTTCGCAGCTTCCCCACAGAGGACACAAAGTGCCCCTGTGCTGGAAGCACAAATAAATGATTAGGCACTTTCTCAGCTTCCGAAATCAAACAAGATGAGCTGCAGTTGCCATTTTGCCGATGAATCACCATGTTTGTACAACAGCTTGTTGGAGTGGTGTTGAAGCAAAGGTGAGTTGTAGGGATTGCGCCATAAAAGACTGCTAAAATTATTTGGTGTGCGCTTTGCTGCAGGCAGCCAATTTTGAACAAACAAGTTGTGTAAGAAGTGGACTAAGATAGCCAGAAATTGTCTGACCAACGCACTGAATAATATATATATTTACATAAGGAAAATATATTTGAAATTAGCCGGTGAATATATATTATTATGAATAGGTCGAATCTAGATATTGAGAACTAGAAAAAAAATAATAATTATTATAATAATTTAAATAATAATAATTTATAGAAATTAAAATAATATAAAACAAAATATTAAATTAATTAACATATATTTCTTAAATTTTAAAACATAAAATTAATTATAGACACATTAATCTATTATATCCCCTAATATAATTTATTAAAAATTATTTTATATTTATAATATAAATTATTAATTTATCAAAATTAAAATAAGTTATTAAATTTATTGATTAATATATAATTATTGTTTTTATATTTGTTTATAATTAATGTTATTTTTATTTGTTATTTTTTTTGGTATATTGGGTATTTTGTTATAATTATATCGATGTGTTTTATGTAAAAATGAATTTCTAAAAATATAGATATGGGTTTCCTAAAAAATCGATATACGGAAATAGAAATTTATTGATTTGAGAGTAGATGGCTTAATTTTGGCCGGAGGGATTATTTATAGAATTGGTATGTGTTTAATTAATTCGAAATGGGTTGGATACGATAGGGGTTGGTAGAGTACACCTTCGGCGTAGTTGGGGGTTGGTGTTCTTGAATTTTCGGGGGCGATGGATTTGTGTTGGTGATGGTAGAGGGGAAAAAGCGTAAGTTGGGTATTATTGTTGGGTATTGTTGATAAAAATAGATGGTATAATTTTGGTTTTGCGTAAAGGTAAAATCGAGCTTTCGATTCTTATAGTCGGGAGGGATTATTGATGATAAAGGGCATTAATTGAGGTAGGTTGGGCGTTGTTACCAAAAATAAATAATATATTATTTTTTAGATTTTTCGGTTAGAGTAATGGAATTTTCGGGGTTGAGCCGGTGCGGTGGGCTGGTGCATAAGGGGTTAATAATAGTAAAGGAGTAGAACGAAATTGAGGAGTAAATTGTTTCTATTAATAAAAGAGATATGGGGGTTGCTGGGTTGTATGGGGTTAATGATGACAGAGGAATAGAGAATGCATTAAGCATTGCGGCACAACTTTTTTGTTAGGATTTCGGATAAGAACGGGGGCGATAGCCTTGGTGATGGTAGATGGGCAAAACATAAATTGAATATTATTGATAAAAAAATAAAAATCGGAGCGGTAGACTAAATACATAAGGGATTAGTGATAACAAATAGAAAGAATTTAGCATCATAAACAGAACCGGGCCAATATATAAAAAGCAAATAATATTAGAAATGCAGAGCGTAAATTACCTATATTCCTAAAATCGAATCGAAATCGGAGCGATAAACTAGATATGTAATAAATTAATAATAACAAAAGGGCAAAATTTAAATTAGGTATCGACAATAATCCTATTCCTAAATCTCGGTTAAATATATAAAATAATCACGGATTTTTATTTTTTTTAAAACAATATATTAAAATCAATATTAGTTTTAATTTTACTCAAAAAATATTTTTTTATATACCAAATTCATATTATTAATATTTATATTGTTTAAAATAAATTATATTACCAATAATAAAAATAATATTACCAATATCATTTTGTTTTTAATATAATATTACCAATATTCAATTTAACATATAAAAATAATAAAATCAATATTACCAAAAGAATTTTAAAATTACCAATATTAAATTTCATTTTTCTATTTTTAAATATATCCAAAAAAAAATATATCTAAAAATCAACAAAAATATTAAAAACACATTCATTTTACACAATAAATCCTTTATATATTCATTTTAAATAACAAAAACCAAATTTAATATTACCAAAACGAAATATAATTTACCAATATCAAATTTAATATCACCAACACCAAACTTAGTATTATCAAACCTACATTTAATATAATAATTATTTAATTATATATTCGTTCGTAAATATTTCTAATTCCTAACCATAATCATCCAAGCCAAGTATTCAGAAAATTAAGAAACTTAGAACGAATTCGATTATTTTATTTAAAAAAAAAACAAGAAAGAGAAAAAAAGAGAGAGAAAAAAAAAGAGAAATAAAGAAAAAAAGACGCGAACGAGCAAAGCAAATAGAAACAAACAGAGAGACAAAGCCACCAAATTAGATAGATGAATCGTACACAAATACAGTGAAGAACAACTGAAAATACAGCAGAAACACTGAAAGAGCTAGATGGGTAAATAGACAGGTAAATCCATAGGTGGATGGATAGGTACATAGATAGGTAGATAGGTAGACAAATAAATAACAAGAAATAGATAGTTAAAAAGAAAGAAAGAGGGAGAGGAGAGAGAGATAGAGGTAGATATATGGATAAATAAATAGATAGATAGCTGATTCGTTCAATTAATTAGATAGCTAAATGGATAGGTAGAGAATGAGGAAGGGAGATGCAGTGATGAATGCATAGATAAATGGATGCATAGATAGTTAGTTATTTCCATTAGGTTGATAGCTTGCTAGATAGATAGATAGATAGTAAATTGATAGATTGATAGCCAGCTAGACAGAGAGATATGCAGAGAGCAAAAGAGGTAGAGAGAGAGAGAGAAAGCGATCGATAGATGGCAAGATAGAGACACACAGATAGATAAGATAGGTAGACTAGATTAGATTAGATTAGATTAGATTATTAGATAGATAGATAGATAGATGGATAGATGGATAGATGGATAGATGGATAGATGGATAGATGGATAGATGGATAGATGGATAGATGGATAGATGGATAGATGGATAGATAGATAGATAGATAGATAGACAGATAAGATACAATAAGATTAGACTAGACTAGACTAGACTAGATTAGATAAGATAAACAAAATAAATAAAACAGATACGATAAATATGATAGATATGATAGATACGATACATAAGATAGGTAAGATAGGTAAGATAGATAAGATAGATAAGATAGACAAGATAGATAAGGTAGATAAGGTAGATAAGGTACATAAGGCAGATAAGATGGATAAGATAGATAAGATACATTAGATAGAAGACACGATAGATAAGATAGATAGATAGATAGATAGATAGATAGATAGATAGATAGATAGATAGATAGATAGATAGATAGATAGATAGATAGATAGATAGATAGATAGATAGATAGATAGATAGATAGATAGATAGATAGATAGATAGATAGATAGAGATAGATAGATAGATAGATAGATAAATAGATAGATAGATAGATATAGATAGATAGATAGATAGATAGATAGATAGATAGATAGATAGATAGATAGATAGATAGATAGATAGATAGATAGATAGATAGATAGATAGATAGATAGATAGATAGATAGATAGATAGATAGATAGATAGATAGATAGATAGATAGATAGATAGATAGATAGATAGATAGATAGATAGATAGATAGATAGATAGATAGATAGATAGATAGATAGATAGATAGATAGATAGATAGATAGATAGATAGATAGATAGATAGATAGATAGATAGATAGATAGATAGATAGATAGATAGATAGATAGATAGATAGATAGATAGATAGATAGATAGATAGATAGATAGATAGGGTAAGATAAGATAAGATAAGATCAGATAAGATAAGATGGAGATAAGATAAGGTAAGATAGATTAGATAGATAATTAGATAGATAGATACACACAGATGGATAGATAGATAGATAGATAGATAGATAGATAGATAGATAGATAGATAGATAGATAGATAGACAGATAGACAGATAGACATGGATAGACAGATAGATAGATAGATAGATAGATAAATAGATAGATATATTGGATAGATTGGATAGGTTGGATAGACAGATAGATACATGCACAAATCAATATATTGGATACATTTGACAGATAGATAAATAGATAGATTGATGGATAGATAGATAGATTGATAGATAGATAGATAGATAGCTAGACAGCTAGCTAGCTAGCTAGATAAATAGATAGATAGATACGTAGAGGAATAGATAGATAGTGATAGATAGATGTAGATAGGTAGGCAGAGAGACAGACAAATAGCTAGATAGACTTAGATGGATAGATAGATAGACGCAAGATAGATACATAGAGGAATATAAATATATATAGATAGTGATAGATAACAAACAGATATATGATAGAGAGTATACACATATAAACAGAACTAGATAGATCTTCATACCTTGAAAGTCGTGATGCTAGCTCCCAAGCTAAGCCAGGATCCCTTTCAGCAAACTATCCTGCTAGGAATTTGCACGTCGATGCCAAAACGCAACGTGTGAATCGCATGCTGGCCCGCGTGGAGATCAACAACCCACGTGATGCATCGTTTGGAAAATGTGAGTCCTTTGTCTAATATATCCCTTCGCGGAACAGCGATCTGTATATTGTAGAGACTGTTTTGGACAGTACCTTGATGTCACATGAGCCCCATACTTTGCTGGAGCCGGCAAGGAAGCCTGGTTACTTTCATTTCCTGGCCCCGTCTCGTCCCTACGCAAAGAAACCACATAGGCGGTTGGCGCAAAAGACAATGACAGGACCAGCAAAATCGACAGTGATTCTCCGAAGACAGTCACAGGACCTGCCGTCTTGGCAGGCGTCTCATGCTGGCTTCACTTCCCGCGTTGACAAGGCGTCATATTCGTCCACGCTGTACTCCACCTGGAAACATCAAGCTCATACACCTCTCCACATTTTGTCAGGCAAAACGAATACTTTGGGTCCCTTCTGTTTACTCAGTTGCTTGCCGCTTACGGCTAAGCAGCTATAAGCAGCTTGTCTTTCGTACTTTGAGCGAGGGGTTGGGCTTCGAAAATTCTGGCTGTCGCTCATGCAAATAGAAAGGGTGCCTTTTAATGTTAATTGAAATTAATTAAGTTTGGGTAAGCCGATCTAGCCAGCAACAGGGAGTCTGGAAAGAACAACCCGTTTGTTTTTCGGGAAGGTGACACAAAGCACTCACCTGCATACTTCAACGGGAGTTCGGCGGGTTTTGCAAACACGGGCCACGAAGCTCCGCCCACTCTTGCTCGGGTCGCGGTTGCCCCCCCCCCCCACCCCCGATTTCCAAACCACTCCCGACCACTCCCGACCACTCCCGACCACTCCCAACCACTCCCAACCACTCCCAACCACTCCGCCCCCCCCCCACCCCCTTCCGTGTCCCCATGCCTCATTGGGCAGGTCGTCCAGCTCGGAGATGAAGGTCACCGCGAAGGCGTTCAGCGCGAACTCGGAGGTCTGCTCCGAGGCGGCCAGGTACACCGGCAGCGAGTACACGATCCAAATCCGGAACAAGCCGTTGGACACGTAGCCTCTCAGCTCGGTCCCCAAAAGCGGCTAGCTCTGCGCGGGTCCCCTAAATGCAGCTGCAACATGTGAATGAGCTACATTCCACAAGACAAAAACCCTCAGCTCAAGGGGGGGGCCCTGGATTGATGCAAGCGAACCACTTGCAAAGAACACACTACCCTGTCAAGTACGGATTGGCCACGCTGCAAGTGATCCAACCTCGTGGGATGCCTCCACCCGTGATTCAACAAATCCTTCGACAAACCAAAAAGCATGCAGGAAGCCCGGAGCAACTTCCACTTGACGTCAGGCCATCCTCGACCCCTCAGCTGCAGTCCCAAAAGGTCTTGTGAGTTCCAGTCCCTCGCCGTTTTTCCTTTCCATCTCCCTGGCGGTGCACAACGAAGCCCCTCAAATTGCCCCCTTCCCGACCCAAGTGTCCCACCACTGTCCCCTCCCACCCCGACGGAAATGTGGAAATGTGTGAAACACAGGAGCACTACAAGTTTGGGCTGTTTGACTTGTTCATCATGATAAGAGGATGCTTGTTGTCTTGTTACTTTCTGTTTTATTGTTTGTTTGGCTTGGGGAAGACGCCACGCACCACAATGGTACATGACGGCACCCATGGGCAATCCACGCAAAACCCATGTCGTTCCCGTCCAGTGGCCCATGCAGAAGCGGAAGAGCACTTCAGCTCTGCTCAGCCGTGGGGCGTTCAGGTCCTCGCCACAGCAACGAGCATGCCGAGGTGAGCAGGCCAATCTTTACAAAAACGCACACACACACACAGACACACACACAGACACACACACACACAGACACACACACAGACACACACACAGACACACACACAGACACACACACAGACACACACACAGACACACACACAGACACACACACAGACACACACACAGACACACACACAGACACACACACAGACACACACACAGACACACACACAGACACACACACAGACACACACACAGTCACACACACAGACACACACACACACACACAGACACACACACAGACACACACACAGACACACACACAGACACACACACAGACACACACACAGACACACACACAGACACACACACAGACACACACACAGACACACACACAGACACACACACAGACACACTCACAGACACACACACAGACACACACACAGACACACACACAGACACACACACAGACACACACACAGACACACACACAGACACACACACAGACACACACACAGACACACACACAGACACACACACAGACACACACACAGACACACACACAGACACACACACACACAGACACACAGAGACACACAGACACACAGACCACACACACACACACCCACACACCCACACACCCACACACGCACACACCCACACACAGACACACACAGACACACACAGACACACACAGACACACACAGACACACACAGACACACACAGACACACACAGACACACACAGACACACACAGACACACACAGACACACACACACACACACACACAACATCTCGCGTTCCTTTCGATCTCCTTTTGACGGCAAATCGAACATGTCGGGCCATTTAGCGGGAAGTTCCCCCAAGCACCTAACCAACGTAAACCAGTAATTGAAACTTTCCCAGTTGCCAATCCACCAGGCAATTGCCATCAAGCATCGTGTGAATTGGATTTGTCCCGATTGCCAACAATCATGCGCATTTGGCGAAGCATTTTGGCAGCGTTTCAAGCAAAGCCATCCCCAATTTGGCTGGGCTCTTGAGAGCGGGGCTCTCACCAGAGGTTGGTCTCCGTTGCTCCGTTTACTTGGCTGCCTGTCAGCCCAACTACCGAATGAAGTGCGAAGGCAAGCAACAGCATTCTAACAAGGGCGTAGATTGCTGTGTGTTCAACAGCCATAAAACCAGGATGTGCACGCCCAACCAACCAGACCCGGCCCCCCTCAACACCCCGATTCACCCCTGCTGGTTTGGCCTGCCCGGCCGTCAGCTTGCTCTGGCGCAGCAGGGCCGCCCAAAGCTCGTTGTTGGCACAGCCATCCAGCCGCAGCGCCCAGCGAGCGAAGAACTGAAGCGACCCGTCCGAGGCCTCAAGATCGAGCTTGGGATCTGATCATATGCAATCCCGGAATGAGGCGCCGGCTTTGCCCAAACCCATCAATGAACACCTAACAACCTCTTCATACCAGTCAAATACAAAGCTGGAACTTCTTCCAAGTCTAGGAAGGAAGCAATGCCAACAACTCTTGCATTTCTTCATGTGCTAAGCATTGAGTACACCGCAGCTCGGTTCTTGGACCATTCCTGACTCTGAAGGCTTCCGTTCCATCCCGCCTTTGCCCTGTACAGAAAAATGTCGGAATAGACGTTCAAGATTTTCACTATTGTACAAGTGCGAGGGGCCTGAACAGAGGAACCACCAGCAAACAAACCAGTTGCAACCAGCGAGCCGGAAGGAGAGAAGAAGGAGCCATTCCTTTTTCAGAGCGCCATCTTTGGCAGGGAACCCGCCAAACACCCAGATACAAGCCACCAACCCGAATGCAGGCCTCTGCCTACCCATAGTGACCTATTGACTCTCCATCTACCACTTCATTCACACATCTATTTGTAATTTTGGCCTATATCTATAAATTATATCGATCTTTCTGTCTATCTCTACCAACCTATCCACCGATTTATCTATTGATCGACTTTTGATCGATTTGGTCGTCTCACCTAGCCTCACCTATCTGTTTATCTGCACCCGGTCAGTTTGCCTCTTTACCTACCGGCCAGTCTGTCTGCCCATCTATGTTCCCATCTTTTGTCTGCCTCTCTAATTCTTTTTCTCTACTGCAGTTATAAGCCGTCCCCCCTTCATTAAAAACAAAACTTCGGGGGTGTTCTTATTAGGGTCCCCGGGTTTTGGGCCAGATCTGTTTCAGACTGCGTTGTTCCGTGTTGGCATCAAACTGGAAAGGGAGAACCGCTTGATTTGCCAAAAAAACGCTCAGATCCTTTGAGTCAGACCCTATGAAGGGAACCCAACAGAGACCCTCATGATACAAAACTGTCGGGCAAAGCAACCCTTCGCTTGGACCTTCGCTTTGAGGTAAAAAGCGTTTAAAATATAATTTTGCCTGGCTATCTGTCTTCAGAGCTCTGCGCATTTTTCTATCTATTTGACTATCACTTTATCTGTCCATCTATCCATCGATCTATGCGTCTGTCCTTCTTTCTGTCCCTCCAACCTGTCGATATCTATTGTGCTCGAAACCAGCGCTCGGGGCGAGACGTGCTCCAAAGTGCTGCGCCTGTCACGTAATGCAACGCGCTGTGCCTGCCACGCAAATCCGCGTCTCCGGTGAGACATGCTCCAAGGTGCTGCGCCTGCCACGGAAGTTGATCACAGCCCTGCAAAGTGCCGCGCGAAGTGAGCGCTTCAAACGACGAAATACTGCTCCTGTCACGAAGTTCAAGTTTTGAGACGTTTACGCCGCGTGTCACAAATTAGCACGGGATTGCGGCGCCAGCCTGAATGACTTCAACCAACTTTGACTAACTTGAAGCTAGCCTTTTGCACGACGGGGCCCGCGACATGCCACTTGCACAGACACTTGCACCTCCTCCAAATCGCAAATCACAATGGCACGGAGACACAAACGCGTAACCTTCCAAAACACTTCGGCTGCGCAACGAGACGGCACGCAGCCTCGCAAAAGATACGAATTGCACACAGGCGCAACGGAAACAACATGCTGCAAGTCATACGACTCGCACGTTCTCAGCCTTCCCCAACTGTACGCCCAACTTTTGCCTCATGCGAACGCCGGCGACCGCTTGCGACAGCCTTGCAGACGCTTGAAAAATCGGCGACATATCTCGCGAACACACGCTGACACCCGACACCCTGCGGGAACCCTTCTGCCACGCATAAGAGCTTATGATTCTAAAGGTGCCCGTGAACTATTAGGATCCTGCTGGACTTAAAGACGTCCCAGTCACAAACACCCTAGACCTGTCCGACCCAAAGCAAACATATCACACGTCAACAGCAGTGTGGGGTGAGAGTGACTTTTGAGACTTCCATGTGTTTTCCACTCGTTGAGAAAAGACACTATCACAAAACCGGAAGCCCTCCGATCATGCATACCTGGCGCTTCACTTTTTTGGGCCTTGTGACGTGACTACGACCGTTTAGGGCCCTGAACTTCCCATCGCTTCCCTTGCTGTAGCTCTGAATCAGCACTGAGGCTGGTTCTTCCTGGGATTGAGGCAGGTAGGCAGTTTAGGGTCTGGGGCTTGGGTTTGGATGGCCTATATTGTGACTGATGCCATCCAGCGCTTCCTCAACCTCTCAGCTTACAATTACTCTCCCAACTACTTGTAAAAAGCAATGAAAAAGGCAAACATGTTGAAACTGTGCCAAACCGCTTGCAGCACACGGAATGCTCTGCATGCTGTTGTTCGTCATCTGACTAGGTCCAAACTGATGTCTGCGTAGGCGGCTGGACAAGAGAAATCTACTTTGAACTCTTGACAAGGCTGGGTTGGGAATCACACGCGCCCGTTGTCTACCGAGTTTGGGGCTCCAAGGCTCGCAGACACATTGACTTCCACAACAGCAGATGGCTTCGCTCCCTTGAAACCACATGGCATGTACTTCCCGTACTCATTGCTGAACTCCTTTGTTGGGGAAGTGCCGCCTCTTGAAACTGTAACAAAACATGAGGCTGCCCAAATTTCGGTGACCCTAAACGGGTTCCAATCGATTCTCAGAACCCGCATCTTAGAACCTGCAGGCCTACAATCCACGGCTCGGCCTGGCGCTCCTCCTCGAAAGAGTTGGTGACGTATGCCTGGACGAAGATCGAGGCCGCCCACAGGGACCTGCAGGGGATGCTGTCGCAGGTCTACGCCCGCGTGACGCTGACAACTCACAAAGGCAAGTTCAAGTTTAACACTTGATACCAACCTTTGCTAGATCATGCCTGGCCAAGGTCAAACCTTACAGTGGGGTGGGGGGCATGTTCCTGGCGCCGAAAGTTGATAGTCATGGGCTTGAACTCGCTGTCCAGCTAGTCATCTGACTAGTGTGGAGGCTGGGTAAACTCCGGACCCAAGGGCTTTTGGCACAGCAGAAGGCTTGGCCAGGGTCTAAAACAAAAAGAGGCCTGGCCTTGTCTTTGTTCTACGCATGATTTCTGCAATATGACCCTTAATTCATCATGCGTTTTCAATGCCCGCCCCAAAAGGAGGAAGAGCATGCAGTTAAGCCCTCCCACGCTAATTCCCTTGCAAGCAGGAGAAGGGCCGCTTTGTTGCGGGCGCGCCCCACCTTGCAAGACTATGTTGCAGTTCTGTGGACCCCTGCAAGAGGTTGTTTTTGGGGTGCCCCTTTTTGACACCCGACATCAACGGGCTCGATTGATCCCTTTCCACCCACCTGGAGAAGAGGGTCATCTCGATGGCCTTGCACAGCACCGTGACGTAGACACACATGAAGATCGCGCCCAGCAGGAAGGTGCGAATGCAGCTGGAGATGGGAACTGTGGGATCTTCATAGATGTTCCTCGGAAAGCAATGTTCGAAATAGTGCCTTGTCTACTGCCCTTTTGGGAGAAATTTCAAGATGTTGCTTATTTAGCACCAAACCCTTTGGAAGGTGAAGTGTCCCCGACACAATCAGAGCTGTGGATTCCCTACATGTACCCAAGGACACTACACAATGTATGACATATATACCTGTGTAATATACGAATGTGTCTTCTTGTGAGCTGCAAGGTTGAGGCTTCCACGCGGGCAGGAGGGATGGTTGAACCCTGCGCCCTGCCAAAAAAACTGTGTCCTTCCTCCACTTGTGTTGGTCTTGAAGTTCAGGGGGCCTTAGCCTAAGGATAGCCCAAACAGGCATAACCGATGCTGCTCCCTGCCAATATCCAGCTATTGCAAGGCCAGCCAAACTGCCAAGAAATATATTGGTGAGCGGCTGTCTGACAACCCCAGGGCAAAGACCCTTTCCTGAACCAACCTCACGCTTGCCGAGGTCATTTGGTTCGGAACCTTGGCAACTTGACCGGCAGCCCGCATACCCAGATTCTCGCGTTGCAATTAAGGAAAGCACAAGCGGACACCTAGCCATGCTTGGCCGGCAGCCCGCCAAGCCGGCAACCATGGCAAAGCCCTTGGCTCATTACAATCTCGTGTCGCGAGGCCGACTATGCACCGCAGGTATTGATGTGGGAAAGTGAGCATCCAAAACAGGACAGGGGCCATGCGAACAACCACCTACCAAACAGAAGGTCCCTCCATAAAATGGGCCTGGCCAGTCTTGCCCTGGCTCCTCGACAGAATGGAAACCACACAACCAACAAAACAAACACACACACACACACACCCACACACACACACACACACACACCCGCGCGCGCGCGCGCGCACAAACAACCACAAACACACAAACACACAAACACAAACGCAAAAGCAAGCACAAACCCAAGTACACGCACACACACAAACACACACCCAAACGAACAAATACGCAAGCATACCTAACACAAACACACACCCAAACAAACAAATATGCAAGAACACCAAATACACACAAACAAACAAACAAACAATCAATCAAACAACCAACCAGCCAACCACGCAATCAACTCAAATCAATCAAACCAATCAAATCAATTCAATCAATTCAAGCAAACAATTAATGAAATCAACGAATCAAACCAATCAAACCAATCAATCAAATCAAATCAAATCAAATCAATCAAATCAAATCCATCAATCAACCACATCAAATCAAATCAAATCAAATCAAATCAAATCAAATCAAATCAAATCCATCAATCAATCACATCAAATCAAATCAACACAAATCAAATCAATCAATCAATCAAAACAAAGACATAAACACATCAAGTAAATCAATCAAACCAAAATCAAAGACGTAAGCCAATCAAATCAATCCATCAAATCAATCAAAAACAAACAAAAACAATCAAACACACACACACACAAACAAACAAACAGACCAAACCAAACCAATCCACACACAAACACACAAACAAAGAAGCAAATAAACAAAGAAACAAATAAACAATCAAACAAACAAACAACCACACAAACAATCAAACAAACAAACAACCACACAAACAAACAAACAAACGAGCAACCACACAAACACACAAACACGCAAACAAACACGCAAACAAACAAGCGAGCACACAAACAAACAAACAAACAAACAAACAAAACAAACAAACAAACAAACAAACAAACAAACAAACAAACAAACACAAATACAAACACAAACGCACACAAAGAGACTGAGACACACACACACACAAAGACTCTCTCTCACACACACACACCAAAAAAAAAAAAAAAAAAAAAAAAAACGCACCCACGCGGCCACGCCACCACGCGCCCACGCGCCCACGCACACGCACGCACTCTCTCATACACACGGTCATACGCACATACACGCACGCACACATCCTAAGTTGAAAACTTACCAACACACTGACGTACTAGCTTTCAAATCTGTCAAATCAATGATTTACTACCTTCGCTTGCCAATTTCACTCAATTTCCCAACTTACCAAAGACTCACTTACAAAGGTACCAACTCACCAAGATACAAACTTAAATCACTGAGAGCCAGCATTACAAGGAAAGCTGCCAAGCCGAAGAAACCGACCCATAGCTTGATCTTCGGCCGCGGCTCGTTGCCTTGACCCTCCTTTGCGTCATCAGGCAGTCAGGCCGCGACATCCGACAGGCCTTGCAAATCGAAACGAATTGGACCAGCGCTCTGTCTTCCATTTGGTTAAGCCCCTAGAAAAAATGAACACATATATTCTTCTTAAGCAAATGGAAGCTGTCCAATCTTAGGTGTTAGAGGCTGTTCACCACTTGGCCGACTCAGTTTGGGTAATGGGAGTTTGCCCTCCTGAATGCCTGTTTATAACCAAACAGCGGCGGCCAAGCACAACCTACGAAGACAGGGTCTCTGTGCAACCGGTGCCCTCTACGGGTACAGGATTAAGCAACAACATCTTTCGAGGATCGAAACAAACAGACTTGACCATGTTACTTAGCGGCCGGACTTCGTGGCCGCTCTCGGGAGGGAAAGCTGGGTAAGAAGCCACATGCCAAAGGCTTTTACCCACACCCTTTGGCAGGCCTCCGTATGTGCCCACCTTGAACAAACTACCTCTTGATATAAGCTTGTATATTTATATATGTAGATATTCTCAGAGGTTGGCGGTGAGAATCCACGGAAGCTGACACATAGAGAGAACTGGGTGCACACGTGGCTTTTTGTGAGGCAAGGTATTCCCAAGCTCGGTGGCGCACAGTTGCCAGTAGAGTATTCCAAAGCAAACTCGACGATCGACTGTCTGACATGTTTCGAGCACGGGCGCGCGAAATTATCAAGGGTAACCGGAGAAGCTTTTTGTTGCTGGTTCCAAGTGGCATGAATCAGAAGCAACAAGCCAAACAAACTAATACATATAACCAACGAACAGTGGAGTCAGAAATAGCGTGGCAAAGGCCCGTCATGCTTAGTCTGCTTTTAGTGTGGAAAGGCTGGTTTTTGGGCGGTTTGGCCCGTCTTTTAGTTGGCGGGTACTAGGACAGACCAACTAATCAAAATAAGGCTATGGCATACTATGAGGCAATCTCAACTCAAAAGAATCATCACAATAGGAGAGTAATGTTAAAATAATTCAGCCACTCACTTTCCTCAGTTGCCCCCCTTTAAAACAGCCACGTGGGCCGAAGTTTGCTCCTCAGAATTGCCGCGGATGGACACATCTTGCACCAGTTGGGATGGATAAAACCGGATGAGCAAATGGTTTCTACGCCCGCTTCTCTGCGCTTGCCTCGCGCAAGTCTGCGGCCATGAAGACCAGGAAGGCACACACCAGGCAGGCAAAGATGGGCCAACTGGCCAGGAAGTTGATGTTCCAAGACACCCGCAGCATGACCTGTCCCCAAGTGGGCAGTGGTCTAAATCTGGGTTCCACGATAATATGTTCATGTCTGCCTTCGCGAACCCCTTCGCGGGCCAAGAAACCCTTTTGAGGAGCTTTTGCGAAGCTTTCGAAGCCATGTGATGCCCTGTGTTTCCCTTTCGCGCAGCAACTTGAAGGACAACTTGCACAACAACGACGACGGCGACGGCGACGGCGACGACGACGACGACCACAACAACAACAACAACAACAACAACAACAACAACAACAACAACAACAACAACAACAACAACAACAACAACAACAACAACAACAACAACAACAACAACAACAACAACAACAACAACAACAACAACAACAACAACAACAACAACAACAACAACAACAACAACAACAACAACAACAACAACAACAACAACAACAACAACAACAACAACAACAACAACAACAACAACAACAACAACAACAACAACAACAACAACAACAACAACAACAAACAACAACAACAACAACAACAACAACAACAACAACAACAACAACAACAACAACAACAACAACAACAACAACAACAACAACAACAACAACAACAACAACAACAACAACAACAACAACAACAACAACAACAACAACAACAACAACAACAACAACAACAACAACAACAACAACAACAACAACAACAACAACAACAACAACACCAACAACAACAACAACAACAACAACAACAACAACAACAACAACAACAACAACAACAACAACAACAACAACAACAACAACAACAACAACAACAACAACAACAACAAACAACAACAACAACAACAACAACAACAACAACAACAACAACAACAACAACAACAACAACAACAACAACAACAACAACAACAACAACAACAACAACAAACAACAACAACAACAACAACAACAACAACAACAACAACAACAACAACAACAACAACAACAACAACAACAACAACAACAACAACAACAACAACAACAACAACAACA